GTTGTTGTCCTAAAATTCTTACTCTCTCCATCCCAAAATAATGGTCCCTTTTAGGGAATTTGACTTTTTTTGGTAGCATAATTATTGCACTTTAAAAAAATTAATTTTTCAAAATTATCTTTTGATAGTACATTTTTTGGGAAATATCAATGTCATAATTATACTTTTTATGTTGTTATGAATTTAAAAGAAGGGCAAAATGGGTAATTTATAATATTTTTGTACTTGATTTTTAAAGAGTGATGCTATTAGCACCCCATAAATTATTTTGGACCCTCCATTTCTTTGGACCCCCCACTTATAAATTTTGAAACCTTTAAAATTTATTTTCTCCCCAAATATTACCAAAATTATCCTTGTGAATACATTCCACCCATTGAATGCACACATTCACACCCCCACATCCCAAAAAAATCTCACTTTCAAAAAAACGCTAACAAAGCCCCCAAAAAAATCTCACTTTCAAAAAAACGCTAACAAAGCCCACGATGAAGAAGAAGAAAAGGCAATGTGATTACTGTCTTTGTTGCCTTATCCACCATTGTCACAGTTGGTATTGGTATTGCTCTCTCTCTCTCTCTCTCTCTCTCTCTCTATATATATATATATACACATAATTTCTTAGTTTTCTCATAATAATTTCTTCTCTTGAAAAAAAAATTATAATAATTGATTTCGTTTTCTTAGTAAAACAAGTCTAAACCTATGAATAATATTCGGTTACCTATTTTCGAACAAATAATAAATGTTTGTTACTGATTCCCGAACAAATAAACAATGTTCGGGACTGTGTTCCCAAATTTCGATCATATGTTCGGGAGTTCAGTCCCCAAAAAATGACAAACAAATTTTATTATTTTTGCCAGTTCTTTCAAGAAACTTACCCTTACAAGGCCAATCTCATCTGAGCTAAAAACAACATCAAAGTTATGAATCTCATCTATGCTTTTATTGTTGTACTCCTCTCGTCTTATGGAGTTCTGATTGCTTGAAAAACTTCCACTCATTATCATTGCCGGAGAAATGTAGGTAATCAAATGGTTGTTACTGTTACTGCCGGAATATTATCGCCAAAGGATGTTCAAGGTTTTGAGAGTGGGTAGGTTTTGAAGGTGGAATTTGGGAAAGATGGATGGGTGGTGATGAAGGTGGGTGCTCTCATAAACCCAAATTCATGATGTAGTGGTGTAGATTTAATTGTGAGATTGGGTGTCTCAAAATTAATGATGTCTTTTGTAGTAATGTTATTTGAGGTTATTATTGTAATAAAAAAAAAAAGGGCTAAAAATTGAGGGGTTCAAAATAATTTATGGGGGTGCTAATAGCAGCACTCTTTTTGAAAAGGGACTAATATTTTGGGATGAATGGAGTATTATCTCTCCTAACACGAATTTTATAGCACACAATAAACAATTCTAAGATACAACTCAAATAACTATCCATTCTCCTCATGTCCACATCAGAAGGGTTAATAATGAAGTGTCTATCACTACAACATATTAAGATTTTAAGCACAAAAATTATTTTTCAAGATTGAAATATTTTTATTGTCAAAAGTGTCATTGTTATTTTTTTAACGATGAAATTGAACGTTTAGTGATAGATTATTATCCTTTGGGACCCTTTTTTTTTCTCCAAAAAAGGAACATTTTTGACCAAATTTATTTGTTCCTAAAAGTACATTTATTTGACTTTTTAGGATGAGCTTTTAGCGACTATCCTCACGACGACGAAAATTGATCTCCAAATATTTTTTGCAACAAAATTTTACTTTTAGGGATAAAAAAATTTGTTCCCAAACTCTTATTTGTTATAGTAAAATGTCTATAATTAAATTTGTTTATCATAAATAAATAAATAAGAAAGAAAATAGAGATTGTGGGAATGGAGAAGTTATATCATGGGTCAAGAATTCGGCACTGCTGGGACCCCCAGTGGGGGGTGACCCCCAGCACCCCCACCTCCACGTAGGGGGCTGTGCAAGCATGACTTAGAAAAAAATATATATATATATATCCACCAATCAGAAAACAGTGGGAGTGGTAGGGGTATATAGATCCCGGTTTTCCCTTTTAGTATCTGTTGTTTTCCGGACTTTGGTTCCGTGATGTTGGTAGTTGTATACCTTGTTGTCATCCTTTTATTCCACTTGATTGAGTTTTAGGATGTATTGAGCAGAGTTTTTATAGGTTGGTTAGGCTTTGGTTTCAATTCTTTGTTGTCCAGTTTTTAGGAGGTCCGCTCGAGCGGGGATTGCACACTCCTTGTATTTTGGTGCTCTGCAAAACTTCTGCAAGCATGTTTTTCATGCTCAAACAAGTTTCTTTACGCTCAAGCGGCCGCGCTCGAGCGGGTACTCTAGCGCTCGAGCGGGTGGTACTTTTTGGATGTAAGTTCTGGGAGGGGGAAATCTACGCTCGAGCAGACTGATTTTCGCGCTCGAGCGGATGTACTTTATTCTTGTGTCTTGGCGCTCGAGTTGGCTTACTTGCGCTCGAGCGGACCTAGTTTTTTTGTTCTTGACGCTCGAGCGTTATGTTTTTCGCTCGAGCGGGAATGTCGTATATCAGTTGGTTGTAGGGCATTTTTAAATCACTTTCTCTTATTCTCTCTCTCTCTTACTTTTCCGAAAAAGCCATTAGAGAGCACCTCACACTAAAACTCAAACTTCTCTCTAAGTATTGATCTAGTAAGAGTTGTTTCCTCACCTTTGGCCTTTGTAAAAGTTGCGTTGATCGTCGAGGGCTACATTTTGATCCGAAAAACTTGTGATTTGGAGCAACTTCGTTTTCGTCTTCTCCTTCTTGGGGTGTCATCTTTTGAGGTAGGGATTCCTACTCACTCTTATGGTCTTTGACATAGATTTTTGGTTGTTTTGATAAAGTGTTGAAGTTGGGTAATTTTGGGGCTTAGGGTTTCAAAATGTTAAAAGAGGATTTTGTTATTTTGATTCAAAAATGTGTATTGTGGGTTTCAAAATAATGATATCGTTGTTGATTGTTGATTTATAGACCATTGGGTCAATATTGGGAAATGGGGTAGAAAACCCTAATTTTGGAAAAATTGTGATTATATGGAATTGAGTTAGAAATAATGAAATTGGTTCATTATATAGTAGAATAGTGGAGTTAGATTTATTAATCGCTCACTTTTGAAAACATTGATATTTTATCTGTTGGAGCTTTTATTATCTGTTTAGAAATAATTGCTTGGGCTACCGGTGGAGGGTAGTTTTGATTGTTGTAGACAATGCATGATGATTAGGCAAACTAAAACTAATCAATTGAATATGTCATAGAGGATGACGGTTGATAGAATACATTAACGTTATGTATTGATTGATTGTGTATATGACCTATGTGTATATACGTTGTGTGTGTGGGAGGAGATAGGGGATGTACTCCGCGGTTTAGGAGACGATAGGGGATGGACCTCTAAACCGGATGTTGTTTGGGAGGAGATAGGGGATGGACTCCACTGATACAGCTCATATGCTTGTCAGATAATGTGTTGATACAGCTCATATGCTTATCTTTGGAAGTGTTGATATAGCTAATATGCATATCTATTGAAATGTGGATACAACTTGTATGTTTATCTGTTGAGATGTTGATATAACTAGTATGTTATCTATTGTAAAATGGGAAACGTTTAATATGAGTCACTGTCTCATATAAGTGGTTAGCCAGGTTCTGAGCCGTTGATGTAATTTGTGAAATTGATAAGAAATGGAAACTGAAATGAAACATGAACATAGTGGTCATGAAATGGAAATGGGTTATAAATTGATTTATGGAAATTGAACATTTATCAATTGCTAATGTCTTAGTTATTGCTCATACTGTGTTTAGCATATCTCTACTGGGCGTTGGCTCACCCTATATGGGACATTATTTTCAGGTACAGGTAGTATGCCACCTCCAAGGACATAGCTTGGATGATGATGAGAGTTGAAGACTCTTTTTGTTTATTTTGTTTGTATTACATGTATATCAAGCCAAGGGCTTATTTTGTATAGAGTTAGTACTCTTCTTTTGTGTAACCAGGTGTTAACTTGGAAAGCTGTAAGCCCTTAGGGCATTTCGTTTTGTTGTTAACATGTAATACTGCTGTAAGAATTACTCTGATGAATAGAAGTGGCTGGTTTCTTTTATATCAATGCATGTCTATAGTGATGGGTTTTATGTATTATTTTGAGGGCGTTACAGGGGGTCACCCCCACTGGGGGTCCAATGCATTTTCCGTCAAGAATTCCACATCAACAGTGTGTATGATTAATGGGAACAGTACATGAAAAAAAAAAAAAAACAAAACAAAACAAAACAAAAAGTCACAATAGGTAGAGGAATTTTAATAATTTTACTAATGTATTATTAATTCAAAAAAAATGACCACAATATACTTTAAAATTTCATTGATTTAACATATAACATCAATATAATGACGTGATATATATCCTCACCCTAATGAATAATTTATCGTTTGTAAGAGAGGAAATATAAGATAAGTGTTTCTTTTATTAGTGTACATACTCTTGTTTGTCATTAGGGATATCAAAAGAAAAGATGCTTCTATCTATAAAAAAAAAATTTAAAAAGAGAAGACCCTATGCTTTTGGGGTTACAACTATTCATTAAAGTTTTTTGAAATTAAAATAGGATAAATTTCACCGGTAATTCTTATATTTTGCTATTTGTATTATTTTAATTTTTATAATTTTATTTGATTCAATTTTGATCATTAATTTTAGATTTTATATTAATTTGGTCCAATTGATAATATCGTTCGGATTTTTTTACAGAAAATTTTCACTGAATATAGTTAAGGTTAAGTCACTAAATTGATAAATTTTACAATTTAACTCCTAAAAACATGATATATACCGTTCATATGCATGTTTTCCGTAAAAAAAGAAAAAGAAAAAGAAGCTAACGATTGTATTCAATTGGATCAATTAGAGACAAAATTAAATCCAGGATAAAATATTTCCAAACATACCTTCACCTGCAATAATCATACCATGCGATTGCCTCCGTGTAGTTTGGACAAACTTGTATGAGCTTATGAGTAGAATCATTGACACAGCTACGACAGCTATCGAGTTCAACATCTCCTCTACAAAGCAATATTGCATTAACTCTATCAGAGTTTTGGCCAAGAGAAGCACTGTAAAATCCATCACTGTTAATGGTTGAGGAGAAAGAAGAAATGACAGTCTTGAGGTTTGCCTCATAAGTAATAGTGCTGTTATTTGGATTAGGCACACAGTAACTAAATGTAAAATTAGGCTGAGCAATGGTGACGGTGACGGTGACGGTGACGGTGATGGTGATGAGGGTATGTGAAAACAAGAAAAGCAGTCTCCAATAAACCATTTTTACTGTATCTATATATATATATATTCTATCATAAGAATATGTACTTCCACAAACATGCTAGAAAGAGAAAATGCTCTGCCTTCTTTAAAATGCTTGCTCTGTTTCTTATGTATTACAAATGAGGAAGGCTTGCGTATTTGTAGAACAAGCTGCCACTTTTCTCACCAATACAAATATGCGGGGTGACCATTGTATGGGGTGCACAACAGTCACTATTGTGCAGTCAAATGGGCCTATTTCAGGGACTATTTTGATAATTCGAACCGTTCATCTTTTAGAATACATCAAGTAGAACATATTTCCAAAAAATTAAGTTAATCGGATATCGTTTACCCTTTCATCCACTCACATTTGTATTCATTTTAATATTTTAAATTACAATTGTTATTTTTTGTAGATATAAATGTGAGTGGATGAATTAGTAAATGATATCAGATTAGTTTGATTTTTGTAGGTATGTTCTACTTGATATATTTTAAACTGTGAATGGTTCAGATATCGAAATGGGCTCCGAAATGGGCTCATTTGACTGTACAACAGTGATTACTATGCACCCCACACAGCTGCCACCCCAAATCCTGACGCTCCAAGACCAACCACTAATTTTTCCAAGTTGAGACTATACAACTTGACAACTTGTTGGCTGTCATTGCCAAATTGTTGTTGTTGTTGTTGTTGTTTTTCTACAAATTATTTTGTTAACACCTGTTCATACCATATTTTATTTTTTTGTCGATTATGACCAATTCCTTGTGGCCAAATACAATCTTATTGTGGCCTATCAATTCAGGCCATAAATTATTTTTTAAGTGATTATGACCATATTGTTATTACTATTATTATTATTTTATTTGTTCTGTTAGTGCAGCTAGAGTGATTACAAAGTGAAGTAAAGCCACATGCACACTAAGATTTCCATCATTCAAGAGTTTATAAGAGAAGAAGTGAAGGAAAGGAAATAACGTGGGTTAGTGGCTGTGTGGAACTACCCATGATATTGCCAACTGCCCGTGATGTTGTAGCGATTGTGGTTCTTCAAGCCTTGAAGGGAAACTACCTAGTAGTATAAATAGGGCAAAAAGATACAACAAAGAAGGATCAACAAAACATCAAATTCATGAGAGCTCTTTATTTAGGAGTAGTCTATCTTAACTTAGGAGTACATTACCTTAATTTAGGAGTAACTTTTAGCAGTTAGTTTCGATTCTTGTAACCTTTCTTATTCCTGTCGATTGTGTAACAAAAATTGTGCTTCTTGTTTGATCAAAGCAATTGAGTAACAAGTTTCAATTTCATTACCAATTTTAGTGTGTTTGCATTTGTTTCTTCACATTATAACCTTCAAAGAAGTCCTTGAAACTGTCAAGGCATAGAACACCAACCATAATTGTTTGATCTGTTGTTGTTTGTAAAAGTTTGGTTTCTCTATCGAATCACCTCTGTCGATTTGACCTGAACCAGATTTTTGCTAACATATTTTGGCATGCCCAGTGGGACCTGTCTAATTTGGAGTGATGGCAAAGAAGAAGCAAACAGATATGCATGGCGATTCAAACTTGGGCTAAACTAGTGGCTCATTCATAAAAATAAAAAATGCTCTTCTTCTTCGAATAGAGCAATTATTGGAAAGCATGCTTCCACATGAAAAGCAAGAATTGTTTGAAGAACTGAACGCTGTATTTAATTTCAAGTTGGCTCAAAAAATGCAAACCATTATTCATGAAGAGCCAAGGTATGAAAATAATATGGCTCGAGGGATGAACATACCAAGTCATGAAGATAACATGACTTTGGAGAGTTTTCATAAGCCATCAATGGCTAAAATTAAAAAACAGCCCATTCTCTCGACAGATATTAAAAATCTATCACAAAATGATGGTGAAGATTTACTTGGGGGGCATAATTTTGAGTCAAAGATGGCTAAAAATTATGAACGTGGGGGGCATAATTTTAAGCCAAATATGACTGAAAATTATGGGAAAAAAAATGATGAACAACAATCCTTTTTGGCAAAAGATGATAAAAATCATTGGGGAGAAAAGCCAATTTTTAAGCCAAACATGGCTAAAATTGATAAACAACCAACTGTATATGAATTCAACATTTTTGATATCATTCACAATGATGAAATATATGAAGTTTTAAAGCCAATTTGTACTATGGCTTTTGATGTTCAAAATTTACTTTAGATTTGTGGATTACACCAAAACTCAATTTTAATGAAATGGTTAACAAAACAACAATTGCTAAAGAACATTTTTTTCTGTCAATTGCATGTAATGCATAATTAATGATGGTTATTTGGCCAAGTATGACCAGTAAAGGTATAGCAGGTTCATGTAGTATTAGCCAATAAAAATAATAAAAGAAGAAAAGTGTTTGCAAGGCCATGTATGAATGTGCACAAGTCTGTTTTGAAGATGAAAATGCTTCAAATGTGCATTATACTGTTATTCAATTCGATATAATGGTTATAGAACTCTTCAAAAATTCGAGTGATCTCATTTTTAAGAGTTGGAGGGCATTATTTGCATTATAAATTAGTTTCCAGGGATTGTGGCCTGTCGATTATGGCCAAAATAATTTTTGAATTCTAGTAAATATGGATTGTCCTAAATTTTTGTCCTTTATATCATAAGGCAAAATTCATTTTTACCTTAAATGAGGGGGGCATTGTTGACACCATATTTTATTTTTTTATCAATTGTGGCCAATTTCTTGTGGCCAAATACAATCTTATTGTGGCCTATCGATTTAGATCATAAATTATTTTTTAAGTGATTATGACCATATTATTATTACTATTATTATTATTTTATTTGTTTTGTTAGTGCAGCTAGAGTGATTACAAAGTGAAGTAAAGCCACATGCACACTAAGATTTCCATCATTCAAGAGTTTATAAGAGAAGAAGTGAATGAAAGGAAATAACGTGGGTTAGTGGCTGTGTGGAACTACCCATGATATTGCCAACTGCCCGTGATGTTGTAGCGATTGTGGTTCTTCAAGTCTTGAAGGGAAACTACCTAGTAGTATAAATAGGGCAAAAAGATACAACAAAGAAGGATCAACAAAACATCAAATTCATGAGAGTTCTTTATTTAGGAGTAGTCTATCTTAACTTAGGAGTACATTACCTTAATTTAGGAGTAACTTTTAGCAGTTAGTTTCGATTCTTGTAACCTTTCTTATTCCTGTCGATTGTGTAACAAAATTTGTGCTTGTTGTTTGATTAATGCAATTGAGTAACAAGTTTCAATTTTATTATCAATTTTAGTGTGTTTGTATTTGTTTCTTCACATTACAACCTTCAAAGAAGTCCTTAAAAATGTTAAGGCATAGAACACCAACCACAATTGTCTAATCTATTGTTGTTTGTAAAAGTTTGGTTTCTCTGTCGAATCACCTCTGTCGATTTGACCTGAACCAAATTTTTGCTAACAACACCCCACTTAATTTGTAATACAAATATATATATTGAACTGCTCCAATTTTTGTGATGATATTTCCATGTTTGCTTTGATTTTGTAAAATTATTTATAGTATTTTTTTGAAGAAATAGAAACTAGGTTAACGAAAATAAATATTAAAATATTTTTAAATTTTTAAAAATTATTTCTTTCCTCCCATAAGATAAATCTATATAAAAATAATTAGTATTTTTCATTGTTTTAAAATTTTTTTGGCCAAATTAATTTTTGTTTTAAAAAAATAATAATAATGAAAAGGGTAAATTACACTTTGCAGCAAATTCTACTTTAGTCCTTACACATGAAATCATGACAATCAACTTCTTGCACTTTTGGTCAAATCCCACTTTGGTTCCTACACATAAAATTGTGACAATCAACCCTTTGTACTTTTGGTCAAATCTCACTTTGGTCCACACACAAGTATCAATATCCATTTTCTATTGCTCAATTGTTTAAATCTTTAATAGAATCTAGTCATGTGACAATTGTGACTACGATATGATGGTAAGCGAGGAAAATCATTTGCATTTTCCACCAATACACTTTATCCTAAAATTTACATAAAATTATGACTGTATTAGGCTAAAACAAAATGCAGATTGTGAATGATTAGGAAGATTGTTGGAAATTGGGCCGGGTATTAGACCCGAATTTGGGCGCCTATGTGGCCCGACCCATGACCCATTGAAATTGCCTATGTAATTTGAATTTGATTTCCTGATTATCCTATTTGTTAGGATAGCCCTCTACCTATCTACATCTATCCTATCCTTAGGAGATATGGATAGATAGATATATATGGTTATACATTTGATTCTATATCTGAATAATATAGAATATCAGATACATGATATGATTTTTACCCATATAACATTTTTCCCATAGTCTCTCTCTAACTCTCTCCCATATCAGAGAACGATCCAGCCTTTGCACTGTGATTAGAGTGGGTGATACTTATATTGTGGTATTACTTCATTACTGGGTGTTCTTAGTTCGTGATGGTATCACTCCATTGCTGGGTGTTCTTAGTTCGTGATTAAAGAAGCACGTGATTTACCCACAAGTTTTATCATTTCAGATTCCATCACCTAAGGTATGGCTTGAATCCTTTTACCCACTGCGTTTGATATATCTTACATTGGTATCAGACCCTTAAATGGGTATTTTCGTGCCTGTTTTTGTGCATTAAAATATGTATATAATTATATATATAGATACACATGATATATGCATGAAAAATTAATATTTTTCTGAACTTTCTCTGATCAACTTAAAATTTACATATGTTGTAGTATATTTCATATAGAATATATCTACCAAGTTTCATAAAAATCCAACAGTCAGATTTTGAAAAAAATGGAGATTTATATTTAATTTTTCGTAACTTTGACTTCATGATGGTTTTACATGCTTTGTTTTTATGTTATGAATATTATATATTTGGAATTCCTGTTTCAATACCTTCGAAACGGTATATTAGGGGTCTGATTCTGACTTACGGTTGATAAGAAAAAGCAAACCCTAA